GGGTTTTTTTTTGGGGGGGGGGGGGCCATTAAATTTTGTTTAGGACCTTTTCGGTGAGTGAGTAGGTCGAGGGGTCAATCTGTTAAAACGAAGGGGGGGGGGGAAAGTGGTATTCCTGAAGGGTGAACACCAGCCAATTTGTAAGCTCTTGTGATCGACCATAAAGCTGTGGGTGTCTGAAGCGCTGTAAGATGGTGTTCTGTGTCGACTTTTTCTTTAAAAAAAAGAAAAGAAAAAGATTTGAGAAGTGTACCTGCTGTGAAGTACCTGACAGCTTTCCCGTTTTTCTTCAAAATGACGGTTATGAATCAGGGATGGCACTGGCAGCCTTCTGGTGGGACCAGTGTTCCCTCTAAGCTGAGTTAGTGTGAGATAGCTCACCATTTTTTAGCCTCCAACTCACACATTTTTGTCTTAACTCAGGAAGGACGGATCCAGGGCAAACTGATTTATGCAGCAGCCAAATCGCTCGCTCACAACTTCAATGCCAGTAGCTCACAAAGTAGAATTTTTGCTCACAAGACTCCACAGCTTAGAGGGAGCATTGGGTGGGACCTGGGGATCCCTTAGAATTACTGCTCATCTCCAGACTACAGATTACAGCTCCTCTGGAGAAAATGGATACTTTGGGAGGTAGACTCTATGGCATCATACCCCACCGAGGTTCCTGTCCTCCCCAGGTTCCACCCCCTAGTCTTCAGAATTTCCCCCATCTGGATTTGGCAAACCCCCACCACCACCCGTAGCCAGGGAGCACCTGGCAACCCTATGAAATCTGTGTGCTACAACATGTTTTAATTTTGTGTGCGTTAACAGTTGTCCTTAGATATTTTTGACGTTCCGGCCCAGCGTTAATTACAGATTTCCCCAAAATACCAAGTGGGTAAGAGGATTGGTGATATTAAATTCAAGCAGTGGGAAATCGGTCGTAAAGTGATTAATGTGGTGATTTGCTTATGTCTTTCTTTTGTTTTAGATTGTACCATGGCAGAGGCAACAGAACCCGTTCACTTCCTTGATGTCTGTAGTCAGAAATTTTCTGAATTCATGTTCAACGCTGAGCATAAATGCTTCATGTGGTTGCGGGAAATTGAGGAGGAAGCCATGAAAATATTTGATAGGTAGGCTCAGGTTTTCAAAAGAGCAGGCCTTAACTCCCTATGATGTTTGTGGAATGGAAAGATATTGATCTTTTTTATCGTCTGTACTACACATGATTGCAGAGCTCCCCTTTTATTCCTGTGTGATTAAGGTTATTATACAAAAAGATGTATCAAACCTTTGGAGAAGTTAATTGTTTGGATTTAAAAGATCACTGTTTTGTTGTGTTACTAAGATCTATGTTTTGTTGCATGATATGAAGTGAAAAGTAAAAATATTTTATTCTCTTTGAATTATGGCAAGACTAGTAAGCAAAGCCCGTCGTGGCGGTAGACGACGGGCCCTAGATAGGAAAAAAGCGCGAGTGGAAGGGAGGAATGGAGAAGAGGAGGTAGAGAGAGAGAGAGACAGAGTTAGAAAGGGGGGAAAGAGAGAAAAGGGGGGGGAGACAGAGTGGGGTTAATGTTAGTAATTTGGAAAGGAAGGAAGGAAGCTAGGAAGGAAGGGAGGAAGAATGAAAGGAAGGAAGGAAGGAAGGAAGGAAGGAAGGAAGGAAGGAAGATGGGTAGAAAGACAGAGAGTGAGAGAGAGTGAATGGGACGAAGGATAGTTGAGAAGGAAGAAGGGCAGAGAAACAAAGAGAGGGGGGAAACAGAGTGAGTGAGAGAGAGAATGTTGGGAGGGGAGAGAGAGAAAAAGGAGGGGGGGAGCGGACCCAGTGGAACGGACCCGGCCTGGACTGGGGGGCGGGGGGTGGGGGGAACCGGTGGACGGGCCCTGGAGGGCTCGTCCGCCGGCCTGGACTGGGTGCAGGAGGGTAGGGGGAGCCGGCGGATGGGCCCTGGAGGAGGTGGCGGACAGGCCCTGGAGGGCTCGTCCGCCGGTGTGGACTGGGGGCGGGGGGTGGGGGGAGCCGGCAGACGGGCCCTGGAGGCCTCGTCCGCCTGCCTGGAGTGCGGGCGGGTGAGGGGAGGACCGGCGGACGGAGCCTAACGGCTCCGTTCGCCGCTGTCCTGAATGTGGCCAGTTAGTCTATGAGCGGAAGAATTGCCGCTCAGAAGACGCTGGCTTGCGGCGATGACTGGCTCCCTCCCCTCCCAGCCACCCAGCCAATGGCAGGCCAGGTTCGGTGAGGGAGCCAGTCATCGCAGGCAGCGTCTTCTGAGTGGCATTTTTTCCGCCCATACACTAACGGGGCGCATTTTAGAATTCTGGCACCCAAAACCCTTTTATAATATAGGAGAGATTCATTCCAGGTTCTGCCCACAGAACCCACAAACTGAGGTTATACTCATGGTACTTTTAAGATGTGCTTTCAGACCTGATTACTTTTTTGCATGCTAATTGCAATGAATTTGATTTTGTTTGAGCAGCAGTCTCAGTAACGAGCCTGCACTGATGCCCAAAACACCATCACAGAAGAGGCACCGGAAGAAGAAGAAGCGCTCTTCATCTTTTAAAGATGACAATACAGAACTGACTAGAAAAAGGTAAAACCTGATTAGAAACATTTGTTTTTAGTACTTTGGTGGCATCCAGAGGACATAGATCAGTGGTGGCGAACCGATGGCACGGGTGCCAGAGGTGGCACTCAGAGCCCTCTCTGTGGGCACATGTGCCATCGCCCCAGCCAGGCCCAGACCGTCATTAAAGTGTCGAATTATCTGCCAAATAATTTTAAGTAAATGAAAGCATTTCGGATTGCTTTCCTTACTTTGTTTGGATCATCTTAAGTTAATGTATGAGTTGTTTTTTCTAAAATAATACCTCAGTATTCAGGTTAAATTGCCATGTTGGCAGTTTGCGATAAATAAGTGGGTTTTGGGTCACAGTTTGGGAACTTGGTCTCTACAAGGTTCGCCATCACTGACATAGATCATTAGGTGCCTGTCTGTCAAAGCATCTCTGTGTGCCTCCACCTTCTGAGATGAGGAAAGAGTCTTTTTCAGTGGTGGCCCCCCGTTTGTTGAACACCCTTCCCTTCAGGTTTTTGCATGGCACCTGATCAAATTGCTTTTAGCTAGTGAGTTAAATCATATCTACCTAGGCATTTGATATACTTTGTGCTGTGTTTAGTATGTCAGACAAGGATCTGAGAGGTCCTGGTTTAAATCTACACCTCTCAATGAAGTTTGCTGAATGACCTTGAGCTAGTCATGCAGTTTCAGCCTAAACTATCACTCACGATTATAGCAAGGATAAAATGGGAAAGGTAGAATAATGTACTGTACCCTGAGCTCCTTGAGGAGAGAACATGATAAAAATGTGCTAGGGAGATTAATTCTCCCTCATGGGTGTTGAGTTTTTAACATGCTTATGTGATTCTAGTTTCTTTTCTTTATTTGATGTTGTGGGTTTTCTGTTTTAAATTTTTTATTATAAGGGATACAGAAAGAAAGGAGTAGGAAAAAAACACAGAGGAAATATAATTACTAAAAACATGTGAGGCGAATTTTACAGATATCGAGGACAATCATTTTTCTGAATATATATGTCAATATTAAAAAGTATCTATATATCTAATAGCGAGGCTTTTTCCCCCTGTGCAGATACTTGTTTCCAACAACAGAGGGCTCGCTCTCCCCCAACAGCTTTTTCTACATTCTCAAGAGACTTCCTGGGCCTGCAGAAAAATCCAAGAAGTAAAAAAAACACACAAAAAAACCTTTCAGGGACAATTGAATCCCCCCCAATACCTTTTGAAATGGCATCTGCAGGGATCTACTTCAGGCATCAACTGTGAGAGATTAGAATGTTGGGGGGGCCTTCTAACTGGCTCTGTCAGTAAAAGGTAGGGGGAGGGCCCTTTCCAGGCCTATTTTGGCCTTTCAGGGAGGGAGCCTTGAAGCCAAGTCTGACAAGGGTTGCCAGTGCCAGGCTGAGGAATTCCTAGAGATTTTGTGGTGGGCTCTAAGGAGGGCTGGGTTTGGGGAAGGGAGAGGCCTCATCTGGGTATAATGCCACAGAGTTCAGCCTCCAAAGCAGCTATTTTCTCCAGGGATTTTTTTGAGTCTGATCTCTGCTGACTATGGTTCAGTTGCAATTGTGGGGGGGGGGTCTCCAGGTCCCACTTGGAAGTTGGCAACCTTAGGCCTGGCAGCAGTCTAGGGTTGCCAGGTCCCCCCTGGCCACCGGCAGGGGATGGGGGGGTTAAGGTTGCCAGATCCAGGCTGGGAAACTCCTGGACATTTGGGGGTAGACCCTGGGGAGGAAAGGGACCTCAGTGGGGTACAATGCCATAGACTCCATCTTCCAAAGCATCAATTTTCTCCATGGGAAGTTATCTTTGTAGTCTGGAAATGAGCAGTAATTCCAGGGGATCCCCGGCTGGCATCCCTAGGTAGCACCCTCTAGGTGACTTGATACCACCCGATTTGCATGACTCAACCAGGTCCGGCTGCTTGCTACTGTTCAACAGCAGCCACCCAATGAAAGCCAGTGTGGTGCAGCAGTTAGATCTTCAATGTAGGGTCTGTGAGATCCAGGTTCAGATCCCCATCTTGTGGAGGAAGCTGACTGGGTGATTTTGGACTAATCACACACTTTCAGCCTAACCAACCTCACAGGGTTATTGTGCAGATAAAAAGGAGGCAAGAATAATGTAAGCTGCTTTGGTCCCCACTGTGGAAAAAGACTGTAATTTTCCTAGGTAGAGGCTGTGGGGAAGGGGTGTGGAGACACAGAAAGCTGAAGACAGAGAGGGAGATAAAGGTAGGTTGGCTGTTGGGTGGAAAGGAAATAGGGTTGCTAACTCCTGGTTTGGAAATTCCTGGACATTTGAAGGGTGGAGCATGGGGAAAGTAGGGTTTGAGGAGGGGAGGAACTTCAGACCAGTATAATGCCATGAACTCCATCCTCCAAACCAGCCATTTCCTCCATGAGAACTACCATTGCCAGCCTCCAGGTGAGGGCTGGAGATCACCCAGAATTGCAATTGTTGTCCAGGTGACAGAGATCAGTTCCCCTGGATAAAATGACAGCTTTGGAGGGTTGAGTCTATGGCATTATACCCTGCTGAGGCTACTGGCCTCACCAAGCCTCACTGTCCCAAGGCTCCACCCTCAAATCTCCAGGAATTTCTCAACCTGGAGATTGTCAGCCCTAAGGTGAATTGATCTCTGTAGCTGGGAGTTCCGTTGTGATTCCCTGAGAGCTGCCACTGCTGCTGTGGGGATAGAGGAAGTAGGTGGGTGGGAGCACTGCCACAACTGCTGCTACTGCTGTGTGGGTTCGGGGAGGAAGCAGGCAGGAGGCTGGGCGAGTGATGGGGGCAGAAAGAGAAAACGTGATGAGGTGGGGAGGCAGAAAAACAAAGATAATGATGAAGGGGCAAAAAGAGAGGAGGTAACATGCATGGAGGAGAGATAGAGAGGAAGAAAAGGCAGAGAAGAAGGAAGAGAGGTAGGGGAGAGGGGAAGAAGCAAAGGTGTGAGGATTGAGATAACCATCCCGCAAGTTTCTTGTGGGTCTCCACTTGAATGGTATAATGGCTTAACAAATGTATAACATGATATATATGGTATAGCTTAAAATATATATGACATATTAAGAAGTCTATATAATGACCTACTCAGTATAGTCTACCATTTTCTCATACTGTATTATCATTTTTATCTTATCGCTTATCTATTATATTATATAGTATAACATAAATAACCTCATAGAAGTTTTTATAAGATTTCACACAGCAGTTATAATAAACAAGTAGATTTGCTGTTGTGTTTTAATTGGCGATATTGATTTTGTGTGTGTTTGCTGTCCCGAGAACCAGTTCTTAATATTTCTGGGTTTGCTTATTATCCCAAGCAAGCTACTTGTCTGTTCTTGTGTACAAAAGAGCTGCATATGTGTTTCTATTATATTCACCTTAACTGTCGTTCAGCCTTCATTTTTCCTATTCATTTAGGAATTAGAGTTGTCAAAGGCTAGGTAAGGGTAGATTTGTCAAAACATGTTTGCTCGTGTGACTTCTGTTTCTTCCACTTCTTCCACCAAACATGATGTGAGTTTAGCATATTGTTTCTCTTTTTTGTGCAAACTTCCTCCATCGATTCTAGATTAAAGCTGGATGCATTCCTGTTGATAGCAACATTCTACTTTTATTTTTGAGAGGAGTTAGGAAGTAGTCTATACATAACAATACGTTGTATTTAGTTAATGTGTATAGATTGGGGTAAACACGCACAGCCCAGTCTTATGCATGTTTATTCACAAGTCCTGATGAGTTCAGTGTAACTCACTTCCAAATGAAAGTGTGTAGGCTTATGGTCCAGTAGCCAAGTTGCACTATTAGCAGATGTTAAGGGGAACCTCCTGTCATCACATGGTGGGTGCAAATGTGGTGCCTCTGTGCCCATGGTAATGAATGTGCAATGGGGATGTACATTTCCTTGTTTAAAGCAGGGGTCCCCAACCTTTTTGAGCTGCGGGCACCACTGGAATTCTGACACAGAGTGGTGAGCGCAACTACAAAATGGCTGCCAAAGGAGGTGGAACCAACCACACATAGGAAGCCCAAGTGTAGGGGAGTAGAGGCGTAATTTAAAAAATACATTGGAGAGAGAAGTGAGAGGAAATAAAGCCAACACGGTGATGGCAGCTGCAGTCCACTGTTAATTTAATATGTACAGCCAGTCAGAGAAAATATGTAGGGATTTGGTATGGTAATGCACAGTTGTAGAAGAGTCCTCCGGAAAACTGACATACCTCTAGAAAGATAATATGGAACTTGTTCTGCAGTTCTTAGTGCCACCTTATGGCTTGAAGCTGAATAATAATTTTAAATGGTTTTTTTTTTCTTTTTTCTTAAGACTCTCAAAAAGACGAAGTGGCGTAAAACCATCCTCCTCTATTGAACTTTTCCCGAGCAAAGAGAATCTGGAGTTAACAGCATCTTGTAAAACAAACTTTTTCACAAAGGAAGCTTTAGAAACAGAATGTCACAAGACAGTTATGCATCCAGTTGAAGAAAAAGCACTTGGTGGTGACTTTAACAAAAATACTGAAGTAAAAGGAACAATGGATGAGGAAACACGCAGTGTCCCTGAAGTCTCCACCATGTGGCCAGATGGCCATTTTGCTGACAGGGTTGGAGCTACTGGAGTTGCAGGTGTTTTGGATGTCTCTGCAGTCGTGCTGCCAAATCCCCTTGATCCAGCAAGGACTGGAAAAGACTGGGATGCATCCAGGCTGAGTACCTCTACTCCAAAACCATATTTAAATGTGACCCCTGCAGGTGCAGGAGAGTTGTTCTTAGGCCAACAAGTAGGTAATAATCTGGTGCAAGAGGGGGCCGCGTCTCAGGATTTAAAAGACAGCACTGGAACCTCTGGAGGCTCCCGATCAGGCCATCGCCCTTCAAGTCGACCCCACAAGAACAGGAGAGTATCGCTTGTCGAGAAATACTCACTGACCAGCAAAAGGAAAAGCATGATTCGGAAATCCGTCAGCAAGTCGATTGCCAAAAAGAAACCGGCTTGGAGCTCTCCATCCACCTCTAGTCGAGTAAGCTGTAAGTAAAGCAAATTAAGTCTTGGAGGCAGATTCTGGTCATTCTCAGTATGTAACCTTAAGGCATGTAAGGAATAGGTAGCTCAAATATGTTTGTGTGGAAATGACTGTGTCACTCTAACTGCTGTATCTTAAGATCTGGCAGCCATTTCTACTGCATGTAGTGCCTTTAGCTTCCTTTAAGGGCCTAGAAACTGCACAGAAGAGAATGTTGATGATCTTGTATAACAGCAAGCTTCCCCAGTTGTCTGACATCTAACCTGTTGCATACATTGCTCCTTTATCATGCACGATGAAGGCCCTTTGAGGACAAATCGCCTTCTAGGTAACCCATAGCAGACCTGACACACTTCGCATGCTATAGACAGTAAATGAAGCTGTGCCCTTAATTTTTGCCCAGCTTACTTACAAGTCTGTCTAGTACTGTACTCCTTAAATGGATGCAGTTGTTGCAATTAGAGAATGTTATGGCTGGCTGAAAGAGCTATAACATGAAAACTGAGTAGCAGAGAGGCTATCTCTAATGTTAGATATAGGAAATAGGAATCACTGCTGAAATAACTGCAGTGCAATACCTTTTTATGAGGGACAACCAAAACTGTGAGCAAGCTTTTAATTCTCTGAGAACTCTTCATCAGGCTGGATATACAATATGCAAACAAATGAGAGGATTGGGAGAAAATGTTTCATGGTATGTGTGATGACGGATACCCTGGTCTGCAGTTTGTAGAGGCTTAAGATGTCTGCTTGATGTATTGTAGACTAAATTGAATTACATGATTTTAGGTACAAAACAGGTTTCAAGATATACTGAATGGTGGTTTTAGGTAGTCATTAAGTTAACGGTATCAGTAGAAGTCAAATTTGAGAGCATCGTCTAGTGATTGTACAGCAAGTGACAAATCCAAAGTCGTCATTCTCCAGTTGTACAGCACCCCCCTGGTAAATTTGATATTTCTTAAAGTAAACAAAAATAAAAGGCTGCTGTGTTGGTTCATAGAAAAATTATAAAACTGGGGCTAGTGCAATATCTTTTTATTACAACCCATGAAAAGAGCATAAAACAGTGAGCAAGCAATGTAGCTCATACAAATATATGTGAATGTTATCACTCCAGAGGTCTGGATATTATCAGCATAGTGTGGATGGTTAGCTGCCTGAAAGCTAAATTGTATTCGTCTTTTGTGTTACCTAAATGGCCTACCTGTGGGTCACCCTCAACTCTTTGGGTACCCCCTGTTGTGTGTTAAGAGCAACCCCCTCATGTATCCAGGTAAAATGAAATTAGTGACCACTGTCTGTGTATACCAAGGTCCAGAATTTGGTTGTAGCGCTTCCCTATGGGAATGGGGAGGTTCCCAGAAAATAAAGCAGATGAAAAGTAGAATCAGAGTCTAAATCTTCATTTAGAAATAGATCAAGGAAAGCAGGAGGTTCTCAGAGAGATGCCTCTGTCTTGCAGAAAAACCCACATCCTCAGAGCAGAGTTACAAAGAGCCAGTTTGATGTAGTGGTTAAGTGCGCGGGGAGAACTGGGGTTGATTCCCCACTCCTCCACTTGCACCTGGCTGGATGACCTTGGGCAAGCCGTAGTTCTGATAGGAGCTGTTCGTGAAAAAGAGCAGTTTCTGTCAAGAGCTCTCTCAGCCCCACCTACCTCACAGGGTGTCTGTTGTGGGGAAGAGGAAAGGAGTTTGTAAGCTGCTCTGAGACTCCCTTGGGTAGTGACGGACAGGGTATAAATCCAATCTCTTCTCTTATTATTATTATTATTAACCCTTGACAACCTAGCACCTATAAGCAATAAAAGCACCCAGTATAGGAGGGCAAATGAAAACATACAAGCCTGTCTTGATGTGATGAGAGAGTGGGGGGGGGAGTCCTAGGTGGCAGGAGAGCAAAGGAGAAGGAAGCAGGGCAGAGAATGAGGTCAGCTCCATATCTCTGAGGATCCTGTGTGGAAGGCTGCACAGGGGGAGTAGTGAGGGAGTCTCTGTTGCAAAATTCTGGGGTTTGGGGCCTATATTTATATTTTTGAAGTGTTGAAAAGTGAGTGTCAAGCGGGCTCCGAACGGTTGGCTGGTGTTAACTTTCTCATGGGAATGGGGGGGGGAGGATCTTTACACTTCAAATGGACCAGTTGGTGCAAGGAAATGCATGAAGAGGATCATGGGAGTTTGTCCTGTTGTTTTACCTATACAAGTTGTAACCTTAGATGTTTTAATCAGTCTGAACAAAGAATCTCTCTGTATCACTACTCTTAGATTTAAAAAAGCTTTTCTATAAAAGACTATGAGACAACGAGTGGATTGAACCAATATGATCTGCTGGTTTTTGATGGACTGATTGCCAACTGGATCCTTTCGTGTGTCAAGGGTGTGTTAGCATATCTAATCATCGAGACATTGCCTGCATTTTGAGGTGGTGTTGAGTTCCTGCAGCATCTTGGAGTATCACTCTATTCCAAGTTACAAAGAGCATTTTTCCTCATGTTCCAACATCATGACACATTAAAGATGAGGTGGGCTTGACATGGAGATGCTGTGTGTGATGTCTTGCACTTAAAGCATTTGATCAAGTGATTTTTATTTTATATTATTCTTTCAGGCCATAGTTCCATTGAAGTGTTTGTGGATGATGAAACAAGTAAAAATGGGTGAGTTAGTTTTACCAAACAGAAACTTTAAAACCTAGCTCAAACAGTTCTCCAAAAATTTTGGAATCCATTTTTAATCTGTGAATTAAGCAAAATATTTTCAACATGAAAAGTAATTTTGCCACACTAATTCAGTAAAGCTGAGACTTAGAGGTGAGGTGATGCAGATTAAAAGAAAGCACTTAAATTGTCATTTGATATGCTGAGAGGTAAGGGAGTTGTTGTTCCTCCTCCTCCTTTCTTCCTAAGTCTTTCCTCTTGAAACTTGAAAAGAACCTGGACCCTCATCCCTGGCCTGCTGTTTGGCCTCTTTATATGGGTCATGTTTAGCTGTGTGCAAGCCCAGAAGACTGCCCTGCATTCTCATACCTGTCCCCTTTTGCCAGTTTGGCCACGCTGTAGCTGTCAGCAGTGGCCCCTTAAAAGGGCTCCTTGGTGATACGGTGGTGCTGTACTTCATCCAGTTGTTTGGCTGTGGCCTATAGGGAGCTGGAGCAGCCACTGGAATGGTAGTGAACCCAGAAGTTGGAGCCAATATCATGTTTGCTTGTGGTGGTCCAGACGAGCCCAGGGACATCACAGGGGCCAGGAGAAGGTCCCATCTTGGGCAGTTGCTGATAGCATATTCTGAATGCAGTGCACTGGACTTCAATCCTTTTATGAAGACCTCAGTCTGGTTTTCTGCTGTCTGCATCTCTGATCCCATTCACAGAAGTCTTCTAAGGTCCATGTGGCGGAACGGGCCCACGCCAGCTGGCAGGCCCCGCTCTGCCCACCCCTCCTTTGCCTGCCCTGGCACCTGAAGGGGCAGTTTTTCACCACTGCCTCCGGGTATTGCTGCCACCACTGTCCCTGTCTTGGCCTCCTAAGCTCCCTCTGATGTCGCTAGGAACCCACCTTGGGGCTTCCTGGCAATCATCGGGAGTCCCCAACCCACTCCTAGCGTGTCCAAGCGGCTGAGGGAACTATGCGGTACAGAGGGACTTCTCAGGGTCAACAGTAAAAGGATTTATTTTGAAACCACTCAACTATATACAGGCATATTAACAGTGAACTGAAGAATCAAAATAAAGGTGAAGAATAAATGGCTCCATCTCTCCCTTCTCTACACACACCCTGTCTAGATGGTCTGCAGGGCAGGCACATGACTTGCTTCCACTGGAGGAAGTTAGATTAGCCCAACTCCCAACATGGCCTCTGCCTCCTGCAGACTCCGGCCGACAGCCTGACTGGCTCCAGACTTCAGGCAGGCCGACCTCAATTCTCATAGACTGGCTTCCTACCCAAAAGCTCCACTATATCAAACAGCCCTTCCCGCCCAGGAAGTGGCTCTCCCTCCTGCAGCATTCTGGGGCAGATCTCCTCACAGCCTTGATGGACTTCCTGTCCTCTCTAGGGAGCTGCCCTCAGACTACTGGTTGGAGACAGGAGGGGGGGAATGAGGAGGAGACTAGGCCAAGGCCTGCCTCAGGCTTGATGGTCCCCTCCTATCTGGCCCACCCCAACTTAAACATAGGCATAAAATGGCGTTTCTCCACAGTCCACAAAAGCTTTGCTTTAACTACTGCTAGCCCTGAGACTGCAGAAGCCTGGGAAAGAGATTAGAGTTGACACTGGGCAAAGAGCTACATGAGTCAGACCTCCTTTCAAACAAGAGTGTCATGTCCCTCTATAGATCCAGGTGGGCAGCCACGTTGGTCTGAAGCACTAGAACAAAGTTGGAGTCCAGTGGGGCACCTTTAAGATAACGAGGTTTTATTCAAGATTTGAGCTTTCGTGTACATGCACGCTTCCTCAGACACGTATCTGAGGAAGTGTGTGTGCACACGAAAGTGCATACCTTGGGAAAAAACCTCGTTGTCCTAATGGTGCCACTGGACTCCAGTTTTGTTAATGTCCCTCTACGTAACCATCCGAAGTTTGAGCAAAGAATGGATCCATAATGAAATGTAAAATATAATTGTTCTATGGTATGGTTTAAATGGTGCTCATTGATACCAGTTTATTATACATAATGTAAGCAATATTTCAGCATGCTTTATGTCACTTTATATTGTTACTGATTTTACATCCCACCTTTGCGTGGGCAGGACATTTTTGCTAATGTAGAATAATAGTTCCTGAAGGGTATTTTTGGTCTGTTTCCAGTATTTGGTGTTGAAATGGTTTCCTTGCTCAATCAGGTGTGTATTTTAAAAGTGGAGATTAGGATTACTTTCTTTAGGGTTGCAGAGAAAATCTTCTTGCAATAATTACATATCCACTTGTGGATAAATATCTGGAAGGTGCAGTGTGACTCTTCAGTAAGGTAGGAACATAAATCGGGGAGAGGGATTAGAGACTTG